CACAAGTATGTATTTGCAAAAATCTTTAAAGTTTAAAATGAAACATTAAAGTTTAAATATTACTTTAGCTTGATTATCACCTTAATACGATACTGCATTTAGCCGTAAAGGCTGGTAATTTCTTAATTATTAATCAATTAAATAGGATTAATTGAACTGCTATATAATTACGTATTGTTATTATATTATAGGTAAAATCGAATATGTTAGACTATTCTTGGAAATCGATCCCTCGGCATCTCGTGCTATTAATAAAATCAATAATTCAAAAGAGTCGCCTCTTTGCATTGCAATTCAAAATTCAAACCTACATATTACAGAGTTATTGCTCAAAAATGGTGCACACGTATGTGTTATATTTTTATAATTATTATTTAAGATTAATTTTTAATGACTAATATCAAAAATTTAATATAAATAGGTTCAGATCACATTGGAAGACTGTGAAAATTATTTAAAAACAACTAATGATCCTTATTGTCCAAGTAACCCGGTTAATGTTCTTGAACGTGTAGAGCAACCAATAAAATGCGGCTTGAACAATGGTTTATATCGAATTCTTGTGGAAGCTGGTGCCGATGTAAATACCTACATTGACAACACAAATACACGTACTATTCGTGATTACATGCAAAGCAAAATAAAAGCTAGCGTAGAGGAATTACAAAAGTTCAATCCGGCAGTTTCTAAAACAAAAGTAATTGATCTAGACGAATGGTTGGATAATGAACGAATGAAGCACTCGACAAATTCTTATGTTGGCCATTTGCTGTCTTTAGCGACTAGATCGGATCTTAACACTTTTATAAGATGCTCTTGTTCACAAATTCTTTCCGATATTGGATTAGAATATCGTGAAATCCTCAACATTTATAATAAAGTCAAACCCGAGTCCGATAACGAAAAACAGGAACGCCGCGCTAAATTAGAATGTGAATTGGATGATCAAAAAGAGTGTTTGAAGTTTTTAATTGAGAATGGAGCGAAGACCATGGCAGAACTCAAACGAGGAGTGGAGCCAGATTTTCAGCATGAACAGCTTCAACAGTTACAAGACCGATTGGTTAAGATTCGAGAAGATGTGGAAAAAGCAGAAACTGAAGCTGAAAAACAACAGTACCAACAGCAAGCTTTGCAAATGTTAGTAAGCCAAAATTTGATACTACAAAATGTTTTGCAACGTGGAGAACAAACCTCAGAAATACAACAAGAAATTTTGCAATTATTTGATCAAATTAATTCAGCTTCAATTAAAGAAAATCCTATCTCTGTAGATAAGTTTCTTTATCATTTTACATATATCAATCCTGTTCACAAAACGAAGTCTTGTGAAAATCCCAATAATTATGTTTGGCATAATGGTACATATATCAATCCTGTTCACAAAACGAAGTCTTGTGAAAATCCCAATGATTATGTCTCATTATATGATGCTATTT